GCCCCCATCCTGGTACAGAGAGTAGAAGCAGCAGAGGCCAAAGCAAAGGGCAGAGAGGGAAGTGCCCCCAACCCCAAATGCTCCTGGGTCAAAGTGGTTGGGACCGGTAACTTCAAAGCTGCAAACCTGGTGGGATGTGTGGGTTGTTGAGCCCCAGTTGATTGGTGCCCTATTATTTGAGCACAACCCCCAGGCACAAAGGTGAGCCCCCATTACAGTCTGCCCTGTCGACCTCCAGGCCAGGCCCAGACTGGTCTCGGGGCTTGAATCACCTCCTTTCCCCACCACTGAGAAAGACCCTGCCCCTTAGTCTACCTGCAAGCCTTGTCCACATGGTCTGCTTTGGAGAGTCTTTCATTTTTTTTCTTAATTGAGATATTATTGGAAAATAAAATCATATATATTTAAAGTGTAATATGTGAATTGCTATACAAGTCCATTGTCCAATGAGTTCCATAATCAAGTTAATTATCATGTCCATCACCTGATGTGCATACCCCCATCCCCCAACACTTAAGATCTACTTTCTCATGCTAAGTGTTTTAAATATTAACTATAATCACTGTGCTGTATCACAGACCCTCAGAGCTCATGTATCTTATAACTGACCAAACCTCCCATACCCACCTGCAGCCCCAGGCCACCATGTGGAGTCTTGTGCCCTGGCTCTGCTGCTGTCCTCAATGGATAGAGGGAAGGCACAGTCTTCCGTGTCAGGATGATGGTGCCCACAGTACTCCTGGGGCAGCATTTCTTTTCTCATCATAGATCTAGGTCTAGATACAGACACAGATATTACATTACTACACAGTGTTTTGTTGTTTTCAAATTAGTTTTATTGAGATATATTCCACCACCACCAACAACAAAAATATTCATTTTAAATTGGAGTTTTGACAAATACAGAAACCCATGTAGTCACTATCACAGTCAAGATGTGGCATATTTCCATTTCCCCCAAATCCTTTCCTGTTCCACCCTCACCAAAGCTCAACCCTGACCCAGCCCCAAGCAACCCCAAGCAGCCCCTGATGGCTTTTCCATCCCTTCCGATGGGATTCATCATTTCCAGAAGAGCCTCACAGAAGTGGATCACACGTGCAAATTCCACGTTAATCAAGAACAATCTATCCAGATAATAAAACACTGATATTTTTCTAGAAAATCACCTGAAAACATGAGTTTCTTTCCTCCTAATGAGAAAACTGATAACCATTCTCTCTGGAAAGCACAATATGAAGCACAGACATTTTGACCATATTCCAGTGACCCCCAAATCTACCAGCCTCCTCCCTTGTCACATTTCCTTTAATTTACCTGTTTCTATTTTTCCTCTAATGCCCTACTTATTTGGCTGGAGTACAAGAATGTCACTTGTGTTCTGCTTATGATCATTTCTAATTTTCTTGGATTTTTGTTATGAACTGATTTTTCATGGGCAAATATATTTTCAAGATTACTGTGCTTAAATTCACCTATCAACTAAACTGAATTTGAATCCATTGAACAGAAAGGGTCATATCCTAAACTACACCAGAAGATGAGTGAAAGTCACAGTGGCTTTTTGTTAACTTTGTGTGTGTGTGTGCTTGTGTGTGTTTCTATCCTTCCATTTTTGAAGCCTGCTTTCATGATCTTCCAATTCTCTGAAGTCCTTAAACCTTTATAAGGGAGGATTCCAAGTCGGCCCTTTCCCCATGTCTTCTGTGTGCTTCTGAGTAGGGCAGGAAGGGAATGAGTCAGGATGACCCTAGTGCTAATTCCAGCACCTTGATTCTAGCACCCTGTGCATAGAGAAATGTGTAAACAGGCAGAACTGGCTGGCTGGGGAGGTGGCCACCTCATGTCCTAGGGCCTGACCCTCTGCTGAAGAGTCACTTGTGGGCTGTCTGCTCTGCATTCTTTGAATGTTCATCCCTTGGAATTTTTGTGTGGGGACAGAGGCAACTCTAGAACTACAAATGAGGGCACAGATACTGCAAACATTCTTCCCATCCCCAGTTTTCTCAGTCCAACCTAATTTAAGTGTTCTGTAGTGACCTTGTGTTCAAAAACATTTAGATGATATGCACAACATTCCTGTCTCATTGGTGGTTGCTAATCCTGAGGCAGTGCACCTATTGGCCCTCCACTACCCACTTGGCCTCACCCAGAGCAGAACTGCCATTCCATGAGATTTGCACTAGGATACCAACCCACTGGCCCAAATCCCAGGCGCCACAAACACATCTGTCCTGAGCTGAGCCAGAGAGATTCTGGGGCTCAGATAAAGAGAAGACTGTTCTCTCTTTCCAAGCTAGGAAACACAGAATGGTCAGGGCTGGGGAGTCAGTCTTTCATGAGGTAGGAGGAAAAATAGCCTTTTAGATACAGAAAGAAAGTGTGTGGGGAGCACAAGTACTAGAGACAGAGCTTGAGACTTCCAGGTTCTGTTAGCTTTCAATTCCAGGCTCCAACCCAGCTGTTCTTGGTGTTTTGGTTTCTATGTGATATTTCTTTAAACTTAAATAAATTTTCTGATTTTGCTCATGGTAATTTGGAATAGTTTCCTGTTCATTTATATCCAAATGAACTTGGAATAAGGTGCAACCAGGAAATGAAGCTGCACATGACCACATAGCTGACCCATTTCAGGGGTGGGGACACTTGGATTCCATGATGCTTGAACAGAAAGCTGGCCATCAGTGACCTGCAGACTGAAACCACTAGTTAAATGATTATTGGGTGGTTTTTGGAACTTGGAGAAATTTTCTAATGAGATTGAGGCATTAGGGGCTCAGAAGGTCAGGTTGAAGGATGTCAGGTTGTGCTGCGACACCCTGGGACTTCAGCAAGGTGCCCAGGGAAGTGTCAAATCTGAGACTGTTGCTGCAAGTGGATATCAACAATCAAGTCAGTTATGCAACTTTGCTCCTAAAGGCCTCACTGCTCATGGTATAGGATCGGAGACCACAGAGAGTCCATCCTAGAAGGTAATCACATGACCAACTGAGCTGCAGCTTTTACACTCTTCAGCAACCTACATCCAGAACTAAATTTGGCACGCCTATTATGAAACAGGGGAAGCTCACAGAGCCAACCAGGCAGAGACAGAATTTCTTTGCTGGTTTCCTCCACATCCAAAGGCATAATTCATTAGGCAGAAAACTTGGGCACAGCCCTCCAGCTTCCTTCTGAGAACTGAAGCCCACAGACACAGCCTGGTTCTGGCTGTCCTGCTTAGCAAGCTGTCTGGAGACGGCTTTGAGCAAACACAGAATCCCAAAAATAAATCAACGGGCTGCCAGTTAAGATTTTACAGGTTTTTGTTGCCAAAAAAACTGTAGCCTGGACAACAGGGTCTTTAGATGGACACAACTGCACTGCCAGTCATCTCGGGCCTTCAGAAGAGGACAGGCCCAATCCTGGAGACTGCCAACTCCCTGCAGAAGGCTTCATGAAACCACAGCCAGTTAATTCTGCCCCAAAGTTGCCCCAGAGTGGCTGTGAAGGACCCTGGAGAAGGGCAGTATCTTTATGGACAGAAGATGGACTGGCACCACTGGCTAGCCAAGGGACCCGCTCCAGGTGCCAGCAGTGGTCAACATGCAGATGGCCATGAGCTTTGTCAGGTGTCCTGCTGGAGCTAATTTGCACCTCAAGCTGGTGACCAATGCGTGACTGTGGGCCTGGAGCTGCCCCTTGTTTTTAAGTGGGAAAGCAATATGGCTGTGTCCAGCCTTCCTCCCAGGGTTCCCATCAGGTGGGACTCCAGGGTGGATGGTTATCATTTCCTCTACAGGCTGAATGAGTTTCTCCTGGAGGAGAAAGGGGCCTTGCCTGTGACCCAAGAGCCTCACCTCTGTGTGCAACAGGAGCTGAGGAGGAGAAGGTGTCGGCAGGTAGAAATGCACATGGGCTCCCCCTGCCGTGGACGTTGGTATGGAAACCTGGCCCACACAGGGCTGGAAGATTTTATTTTTCTGGGAATTTTGAATCAGATCTAGGAGACAGCAAATGGATTTCTCTGTGTGGCCTGACTACAAGGATGCCAGTGCCTCTACTTAGCAGTGGCAGCCATGGGCACAAACAGCAGAAAGGTGGTCTGCAGAGAAGAAGCAGGCGTCTCTGCAAAGCAGGCTGGGGTGGGCTGGGGGGCAAGAGAGATGCAGAGCTGCTTCGTGATTGCTTGCCTGACTCATTGCTGGGATGGATCCATCTTTGGGTTCCATGAAATAGTCTCGACTCCTTTTTTTTTTACTTTTTTGGTAACTGTCTATATTGAAGTAATCATAGATTCAGAAGGATTTGCAAAGATAGTAGAGAGAGGCCCCATGTTCCCTACTCTCAGTTTCCCCTAGGGTTGCAATTTAGGTAACTATAGTACCATGTCAGGACCAGGAGCCCACAGTGGTAGAGTGTGTCCTGGGCCATTTCATGCCCCTCATAGATTTGTGTAGACACTGGTACCCTCAAGATGCAAAACTGCTCCATCCCAGGAGGATTCCTTTCTCTGATACCTCTTTAGTCACCCTCCACCCCCATTCCTGAGCCCTGATAATTACCAATCTGTTTCCCACCTCTGTCATTCAAGTCACTGCATCAGGAGTCTATTCCTTTTTAACACCCAACAGTAAGTATCCGTGGTGTGGATATACCGGTTTGTGTAGCTGTTCACCTCTTGAGGGCCTTCTTGACTATTTCCTGTTTGGGACTATTATGAATAAAACTTCTCTAACATTTGTACACAGATTTATGTGTGAATATGAGTTTTCATTTCCCCAGGAACAATGCTGAGGAGAGCAATTGCCTGGCCCCTGGTGTTGTAGTTTGGATCTGGGATGTCCTCTAAAGCTTCCTGTGTGGAAGGCTTGGTCCCCAGCTGGTGGCATTATTAGAAGGTAGTGGAAATGTTGGGAGGTGGGGCCTAACTGGAAGAGGCAGGTCACCGGGGGCTGCTCTTGAAGTGTGTATTTTGTCCCTGGACCTTACCGCTCACCCCCACTCTGTCTGTTTCCCAGCTGCTGTGGGGAGGTAAGCAGCTCTGCTCCACCCTGCACCATGATGATCCACTTCACCATATGCCCAGAGACAATGAGGCCAGCCAACCATGGATGGAACCTTTTGAAACCATGAGCCAAAGTAAACCTTTCATTCTTTTAAGTTATCTCAGGTATTTTGTCACTGCAATGAAAAGCTGACAAACACATCTGGTAAGTGTGTGTTAAATCTTTTAAGAAACTACCAAACTGTTTTCTGGAGTACCATTTTCCATTCCTTCCAGCAACATCTCACTAATCAAGTTTCTCTGCATGCTCAATAGCATTTGGTGTTGCAACTACTTGTATTTTACTTTTTTAATAAGTGTATTGTGATTGCTCACAGAGACTTACACTTGTATTTCCCTTATGGCTAGTATTGTTGAATACCTTCTCATGTGTGTATATGCTATCTGTATATTCTCATTGATAAAACATTTCTTCATATCCACTGTCCATTTTCTAATAGGATTGTGTATTTTTAAATGTTTTACTGTTAAATTTTAATATAAACTTTTCTTAAAAAAACAAGTTTGAAATGGGCCTCTGCCACTTGCACAACTGAGACTTATGGGTTGTCTGTGTTGCACTTAATGACAATCACGATAATGGCTGACATTTATTAAGCCTGTACTTGTGCCAGACACTGTTCTCTAGTGACATCCAGGTCTTAGCTTACTTGATAAATGTTTTGTTTTTCTAAATAGAGTATATTTTGTTATAAACATTAACTGCCAATACAATTTAGTTTACAAATCTAATCATTGGCATAAACAAACAGCACAGACAATACACGTTGCTTAAATTCTAATTGACTGCATTTATTTGTGTCTCAATTTACTAAGAGAAATGCAAGTCACTGCTCTGAGTCAGTGAAATAAGCATTTACATTTTAAAAAGTGATGTCATGCATGCATGTTTTTCATTAGTGTTAAGTAAATTCCTGACAATTGTCAGTTCAACTAATTCCACTTAAATCTCCCAAACCTTTGTCTCCTCCTAAAGTAAAGGCAGAAAATAAACACCCATTTACATGTTTTTACAAATCACATTGGTGCAAGTAATACAGACACACATGTGTTGATCACGGCTTCTGAAGTAAGGTAAACACCCCATTTTCTGAGGTTTAGAAAGAGGTCAGAGGCTCTGTGAACGTCCCCAGGGAGACTATCCAATTGGTCTTCAGTAGAACTACCTGGGTCAAAGGCAGGGGTCCCTTTGGGGACAGAGGTGCTCCTTGTGCCCCAGTGGCTGCAAGTGTGTGATTACAGGGTGATCAAGTCATTGGGCAGAAGCTGCCCTTGGATTCTTAGTTAGAGATAAATGAATCAGGTCCCCATGATGCAGCCTGGCAGTGTGTGGAGATTCAGGGTCTGAATGCTGTTGCCACAGTGCAGCCTGAGCTGTGAGGAGCTGTGAGAGTCTGCACAGAGGCAGGGATATGGATCTGCATGTTGTGGGGGGCCACACACCTTGACTGAGGTCCAGAGGCAGCACCTAGGAAACCAAAGCCTACCAACCCACCCCACCCAACACTGACCATTAAACACCTACCCGCCCCACCCAACAATGACTCTGCAGGTACAGAGAGAGTCTCTGGTCTTGTCTTCTTTAGCAAGACTCCTGGGAACTTTGAGCACCAAGCTGAGACTAGCTCAGCCCCTGCCCAGCCTCTCCTCCGTTTTCTCTCTGGTCTCAGTGCCACGCTTCTAAGTTTCCTAGCTTTGACCTTGCTGATTCCTTTGGTCTCTCCCCACCCCTTCTCCTTTGGACTCGATGCCTGTCCCATTTCCTACTAAGTGTGCGCTTTTCATTTCATCAATGCTGCAGGTGACTTTGCCTCACCCCAGGAAGCCCCAGGACTCTCCCACTGGGAAGATGTCCAGGCAGTAGCTCTGCCCAACCCTCACTCCCTCTCTTTCCAATATTATTTTCCCTTCTCTGCCCCAACATTCAAATTGAGGCCTCACCACTGAACAGGTGAGGTTGTTTGCAGAGTGTCTATTTGTTATAAATGCGGTAGATGCTCCCTGTACAGATTTTGTGTATGTGTGTGTGTGTGTGTGTGTGTGTGTGTGTGTGTGTTGCCCACAACAACCTAGCACTCAAAACAGCAGCTAGATAGAAATGGAGCAGCCCTCTCCACTTCTCCTCTTTCCTCTTTGGTCTCTGCTCTCAGGTAGTGATGTCCTGCTCCCCCTCACCCCCACTTTCCTCACCCCACCCTCTTTCCCAGTGAACATGGGGGACTCCACCAGGTGCTTCCCTCCCCTGGCAGCAGAGGATCCCTCATTGGCTGCCATCACCATGGCAACCCCCTGTCTCCATTCCCCCTCCCTCACTTTTCAGAGCCAGCAGATCTGTGGGGTTCAGCTCCTCAGGGCTGGGAGGAAAGGCGGGTGGAGAAGGAGGGAGGGATCCTGACAGCCAGGGCATCCATACATTTGAGGTTTGCTTGGATTCCAGATCCTAGCTTGGCATGCAGTGCGGCCTCTATTGCCTCCACGCACTGAAGGAAATGCTTCTGCTATCCTCAGGCACTTCAGTTCCCTCTGACATGGTCCATCTTGGCCTGAGGGTCCTGGGTGGTAGCCTGGGAAACTCATGGAGAGTGTGTTGTTCAAAGGCACTCACTGGATGTGGAGCAGAATGATGTCTCTCCTGCTGTCCCTGCAGCCCTGTTGGGGGATTTCAGGAGAGGAGAGCTGCATAAGCTGAAAATCCCAAAGTCATGTAGGGCTGTTGGTCATTCTGACACCCCCAGGCACCCTGACAAGCATCCTTGTGTCCTGATGAGGAGTCATCTTGGGAGATATATGTCCATGTGAGCCCCCCTGCAGAAGCTCGCAGGGTCTGGGCCCCAGCTGTGGGAAGCAGGCCGGGGTCTCCACAGAGCAAACATTCCACTCATCCTCTACATTCAGCAGGCCACCTTCAGATCCTTGACAATGCTGTTGTAGTTAGTAAAAGGATTTCAAAGCATGGGCTGAGTTCAAGGTAACCTTTAATCATTATGTGCAGTCTCAGTGACCATAGGTGTGGTGGTCGAGGGTGAGGATGATGACATTGATGGGAGGTGATGTCATTCTGAAACATACTGCACAGAGATGATCCTCAAAGTCATCAAGTCATGTGCAAGAATCCCAAAACAAAAAGACAAATACTACATGATGATGCTTATATGATATACTTAGAATCAGGCAAATTAATAGAGTTGGAAAGTTGATTAGAGGTTAGGGAGAAAATGACGGTTTTAATGGTTACAGGTGAATGTTGGCGAGATGAAAATCTTCAGGAGATGGTTGGTGACAGTCACACAACGCTGATTATATAGAGTGCCACTGAATGGGATACTTAACATTGTCAGTGGGCTGGGATGTGGCTCAGGGGTACAGGGCTTGCCTAGCATGTGCAAGGCCCTGGGTTTGATTCCCCACACTGGAAAAGGGAAAACTTACATTTTGAATGTTTTGCCTCCATTAAAAGTGAGTCCTTCCCAAGAAAACTGAGTGAGGAAGGTTGGGTAGTAGAAAGTGAGGATGGTCACATGGAGGTGCCCCCAGGAGGAGTCCTGCTCTGCAGGGCACCTCAATCCTCCTGCTGCACCTGCCCTCTCCTGTCTACAGGCTGATAGTGAGCAGCTAAGCCTCCTGCATCAGGGGCTCCCTCCTGTGTTCCCTGAGGGCACAGAAGGCACTATAGATGACCTATCCTCTCCCTCTAGGATCCCACCACACTTAGGAACCTCCAGGGTAAAAATTAGTCTGGGTTTCTACCTGTGGCTCCCTCTGGTAGACACAGACTTGTCATGTGGGCTGTGATGACTCACTGGTCCTGAGCAAATACCACAACACAGATGTGGCTGACACCTCCTGAGGGCCACCAAGGGAAACCCTGCTCTCCTGGGACCCCTGCATGAAGCCCTTGCCAGCTCCAGGCCTGGGCTTCCTGCAGCCCCTTCCCACCTTTTGAGTCACTGTCCTAACCCACCAGCCTTCTGACAGATCTGGAAACAGGCATCAAGCCTTTGGGGAAGCTGTTTTTAGGGTTCATCTGTTCTATCTTCTTGCTTCTCTAGATTCCATATTCTCTCACCCCCAGATTTGAAGGAGCTAAATATTCTCAAAAATCATTCATGGTTCCCCTAATGTGCAGGCTGTGCCTCACCCCCACCTTCTCCCTACCACTCCCTCCCTTCCCTCTCACCACCCTCACTCTCTGCCTTCCCAGCTCAATGGGCAGTGGGGAAAGCAGCCCTTTGTCTGACATCATCTCCCACTCCTTGGCCTGCTAAGAGTTATTTGCTCAGGCAATCCCCGTTCCACCAGAGGAGACTGTCCAATTGTCATGCAACCTACTGCTGGCCAATCAGAGAGCTCGGAGGTGATGTTATGGTGAGAGAGGAGCAGTGGTGATGATGTTGAGAGAAGCCCAGGGTACCACTAATTGAGAGAGTGAGAAGAGAGCAGCTCGCTTGCTTTGAACTGGGCTGCAGGTAAGAAGACATGAGATGCAAAGGGTTGGAGGTTTTCAAACAAAAGAAAGAAACAAAAAACAAGAGGAGAGGTGGAGGGTCTGGGCCCTTTGTGTTGCCTTTGGTTTCACTCAGTCATTTAAATTTTGTCAAGCCTTGGGAAAAGCAGGGCCAGGCAGGAGATGGTGCTTGACGAGGGGCAAGGGGCCAGGGTGGGACCCTCACTTTTTTTCCAGAGCTCAGGAGAGAGGAAGTGTGGAAGGAGGTCCCTGGTGAGTTATTTTTGCATTTAAATGTTTTGTTGCTGAGGGAGAAAGGGTTGGCTTGGAACCTGGTTTCCCCTGGAACTGCTTCTGACCTGAAGACCCCTTTCAAGCCTGAAGCTGCCCTGTGTTTGACAGTTTCAGCTTTCCTGGTCTTTCTTTCCCATTTTCTTTTTATTTCCCTCTGGAGGCAACTTTTTTTATTAAAGTACAATTGGCAAAAAAAAAAGTATATATTTTTTTATATCTGTATATGTTATAGTATGATTAATTGAAGCTCATTAATGTATCCTTTACCTTATATACTTAGAATTTTTTGTTGTGAGAACATGAAGTACTTTGTTAGCAGTTTTCAAGTATACAATATGTTATTAACTACAGGATGAACAATAGATCTCTTTAACTTATTTATCCTGTCCAACTGAATTTTCACCCTTTGACAAACATATCTCTGGCAACCACCATTCTACCCTGTGCTTCTACAAGTTAGATTTTTCAGATTCCACATGTCAGTGAAATCCTGAAGCATTTTTCTTTCTGTGCCTGGCTTATTTCACCTGACATAA